GGCGCCACGCTCCGTCGAGACTAGTTAAATCCCAAGTGTCGATTACTTTCTGCTCTCCCGCAGTAGTCGGCACGACAGCAGCCATACCTTAATAATGATGTCTCTTGTATGCCAGTGAGTTGAGAGTACTTGATCCATTGTATATAACTGTCAAATACATTCATTGTATTACTCCATGATTTCATTATAAACAAGTCCAGAGACTTATTGCCAGTAGTCCAATCAATAGGTCTTGGTGCCTTGCATTCAAAACAGAATGCACTTATCCTGTGATCTAGATGTTTTGTACATCCCAGGCATATGCCAATTCCATCCTTGATTCTAATCAGAAAATAACCTTTATGATATGTAAACCCAATGGTAATCCAAACGTTTTTGTCAAGCATATCTGGATACTTTTCACACAACTAGTAGAAATCATTATTGGTTAAAAAGGATCAATGAAATACATTGAAAAACCCATGAATTTACCTTGTGATAGTACAAGTCATCTGTGCTTTCAGATATTTCAAGTGAAATCAATTCTACTTCTTCACTAGTAGGTAGACCGTTCATATGTACATGCTTTCGATATACATTTACTTTCAACAGATCATATGGAATCCATTCCAAATAAGCTTCATTTGCTGATTTTGTCTGGTTCTGCGATTTCCTGATAAATTCGTCAAGTTTCTTATTGTTACTCGTCCACCCACTCGATAACTCTTTGTGACCACAAATACACCATACAGGACTGCATCTAAGTATCCCGCATGCAGAACAGAATTCATAAAGCGAATAGAAATAATGGAAAAGCCGTCTGCCCATCAGACAGTATTTATCTCCATACTTGGTGAATGCTTTCAACAATTTATTACGTTGCATAAGCCATGTCAAGTATCTTCTATACTGATCGATGTCAGATAAATTTGTAGAGTCATGTATCAAAAGTGAATACTGCCTGGAAAACTCCTGTATAAACGATGGTGTACATTCATCAATATTTCCAAGCGGCAGCAAAACTACGGTTCCATATTGTAATTTGTAGTATGTACCATAGTATATGGCTTTTTCGGGAGAAACCTGAATCAAGTTTTTAACTTTGACCTTTGTGGGAGGAACCCATCCAAGATGTTCTTCAGCCGGATCATCATTGTGAAGAGTCTTAAACGACTCGATGAGTTGGTCAATTGCAGGGCACCCGGAACTAGTTTCGCTGATCTGCAGATCTTTAGTAGTCGATACTAAGGACTTCATAGGGATGGGCGACGATATTTTTTTCAAGGGGGTAGGTAATTGTAATATATCGCTTATACCGTGATTACATCTTGGTGTAACAATCAGTATACAACAAGTATATATGATATGACGTTGTCCAAAAAAGAGAGGAGATAGTAATAGGCAAACCTTCCACTCAAATTACATCACATGCAGTTATACCAGTATTATTCACACAAAAATGACAACGACCGCCTTGTAAGTCTTTTGGAATTTGTACTTCGCGCGCGCGTCTATTAATCTATTAAATTGGGCCTTCTTCCGACTTTTGCATTCGGATCGATTACACACTCTGAGGCGTAGTAGTAGCTTAATGTAATTTCAATTCAAAAGTTAAAAATGTTTGTCGGTTGGTGCTGAGACATCTACGAATGCGTTGGCATTATTAAACTTTGAATAAAGATACACATTTATCACGTGAGAAGTTCTGTGAGCGAAACAGTAAATCTTATGTATGATGCTCTACTCTTTTCTTCATTTCACAAGGTTTCGTTATTCCAATTTCCCTCTACTATACTCATCACAACCCACCATCACTGAACGTTTGTTAATTTAGATAATTTATTTATTTATTTATTTATTTAGTTATTTACAATTGATACATGTACATAATACATAATACATAAATATATCAACTAATAATCGTTGTTAGGAGTCAACTCATGTGTACTAGGAAAGAGGTCGCCACCTTAAGCCGAGATTCGTCTTGTTCTTTAATAAACGAACCAAATAACTTTCATCGGGTGCTGTTCAAGGAAAGTCCTTCACATGGAATTTTTCCACTGGAGATTTCCCATATGTTTTTTACATATGGGACTTTGTAATCTCCAGGTCTAACTTGTACTTGTCTTTCCATTTTAAAGCGTCCCCGCATGCAAAGTTCCACCATCAGCAAATTCAAAGATCATATGATAATCATCTGTTTAGATTTTAGATTTAGGTCAGAGTCAGCTTTCAATTAAATTATCAAGCGATATCGACATTGATATTCAACATAACCATATGTTTCTCTACATACCCTTTGAAAAAAGTCTCCTCGTTGCAGGCATATAAATTGGAAAATCCAGAGTGTTCCATGTTGGATTTATATACTATTAAAAGTGAGAAGTAGTATATGTTAATATTGTTTATAACATCGTCGTCAAGTTGCCTTCTACACCAGTGATAAATCCAACGAAGCGCAAGCGAAAGACACTACAAGCATGTGCAAATTATACCAACCTCTGGATTTATTTCTCGAGCAAGTGTCAGCGAAAAAATTGTTGCCGTTGTGAACATGAGTATTTGCGGTTTAAAGAATAGAATGTTTTAGGGAGGGGCTGATGGGGTTTGTGTCAGAAATGCTTTGCGGTATATGATATATATGCAGAATAAAAGAATGCCTGGGAACCTCACTAATAATGCATGCCCCGAACAATAAATTTCAAGGGACATTGCGCCATACATTTAAAAAAATTTTTTTTAACTTAATTATTTATATGGTAATTGAACAATAAGCAAATTTTCCGCTGCACTTATCTTTGTATGCATTTACATATCCACCCACCCCATAATACGTCATATCGGACCTATCTGCATATTATCGCATACAGTGGAACGGTTGCGTTACAAATAGAGGAAAGCCTCATGAAATCCATGTATCTGCTGATCATTTTTCAATGACATGTTCCGGTGTGGGGAAAAAAGAAATACATTTCTGCAAAAACGTTTCATCTGTCTCTGTGTGTTTGATTGGCTGACCAAAATTCCATTAATTTATGGCCGGCATAAGATTTAGAATACAGAAGTTTCGATAAACGCGGCGTAGCCGTTTACAATTTAAATTGATTTCGGCAAATAAAACTTTCTCTAGATATTCGGTGTCCCTTACTTCTTGTCATTATTATTATTATGGTGCAAGAACATCTAAAAACCGAACAGTCCGTTCTGCAAGATCACTTATCACATGACATTTACCCAATAAAATTATCTGAAATCAGCTTTATTTTGAAAATTACAACATTCCGATCCCTGTGTAAGAGCAAAAACTTTAATGTTGGACTCGGAAATTAATGTTGCAGATTGAACAGCACATACTTACCTTTGTAATGCATTTAAGAAAATTGATCGAACTAATTTGTTCGTAATTCCTCCTGTGCGATTTATATTTTCTAGCAACATATTCCGCTAACTTATCTGTAACTCCAATAAATGCTAAACTTATCGCTTTATTGGATAATGGAATGGTACGAAAAAAGGCGCACAAACTGGACGTCGTTTTTCCTTAAGAAACTGTTGCCAGTTATTCTCTAAACCCTCTAATATAAAGGCCTTAGGGCTTTGAAGGTTGGGTATTTATTTCGGGCCTACACCATACACGGACCAAAAGTATATTGGGCACACAACGATGATCGAATAAAATTTGCATTATTTTTCAAACGTAATTTATTCTATCCTACAATGACATCTTTTTTCTTGACTTCAACTTTCAGTGAAAAAACTCGAGATTTGAGCGTGGCATGGTTGTTGGTCTTCACAAGGCAATCAGACATCGAAGAACGATGTAATAAAAAGGTTTGGAAGAGATCAGACTGTATCTAATGCCATTGATAAGCGTCATTTCATTTGTACTGCGGTTACCAATCGGAAGGATACCGCAAAAAAATTCAATAGTCTCGGGCTGACTCAAATTAGTACGAAGACTGCAAGACGTGTTCTACATGAACAAGGGTATTCCAGCCGCATTGGTAGAAAAAACCGCTGGTTCGGCTAAAGTGGTGTAAAGAACGAAGACAATGGAGTGAAGAATGGAATAACGTTATTTGAGCGATGAATCGCTTTTTTTTGTATGAAAATAATGGCAGACATCGTGTATGACGTGGCGAACAGTATGATGTAGACTGCATGTTTTCTACTGTAAAAGTGGTAACAAAGGCATTATGGTTTGGGGTTGTTTTACGAAAAAGAGACTTGGCCCTTTAGTAGTTGTTGATCAATTACAGCAAACACATATAAAATTCTGTTAGAAGAGCTTTTGTACAAAGTCTTAATGATGACAATAATGCTGATCGAGCGTTAAAAATAGACCTAATTTTTTTACTAACATGATACGGTGCGATAAGTAAACTTGTTCACGATATCTATATGCATACACTCAAAGATAAAGATTTCGAAAATTTACGTTAAAACTTTTGTTATAATGTAACTCAAAGAAGCTAATTGCGTCATTAAGTAAAAAGATTTTTTACATTTCAAAATATGTAAATTAAAATTTGTGACGATTTGGTTTCGATTCATTGATAGTCGAAAATGTAAATTTTTCTAAAATTTGACTTTTTGTAATTATATTGTTATGTACTCGCCAGAATCCAGTCACATTTCACAATTAGACGCGTCTTTTTGTTGTTAATAACTTTTATTAATACGTATTTGTTTACTAAAAAACGGGTTAAAAAGTTTTTATATAAGTAACTTGGTTATCCAACACGAAATTTTGTACTTTGTATCTGCGCTTCTAATATTGTATTCAGTATTAGTATTATTTCAAACTTTCCTATAGTTTATCGGGCGGGACATGTTGATTGTTAAGAGGCATACAATATGACTACATTTTATTAATTTATGAAAAGTAAGAGTGTTAGTTAAGGGATTCACTCAAATCTTTATAATTACGGTGGCTTACTGTAGGCATGTTTATGTGTCCTACGACTTCTGCGACGGGTAATTTTAAACATTCTGTCTGCATCTTGAAGACGGCAATAGGAAATACTATAGAGAGCAGCATCAACAGTGTAACTCTTTAATCGTTGACCCAGAAAATAAAAAGCATTATTTGTCAAATTTAGCTTTTTTGCCCACAGCCATCTAAATTATAATACATAAGTTTATTATTTAATTTATGAATACAACTTTGTAACTCTTCATTGATGCTGACGACATCCGGTTAGACCCTAAAAATACACGCACAAAGCTACAACATTTGCTGTAGCTTAAAAATAGAATTGTAGATATCAGAACAACAATAGCTACATAATTATCCTAAAATAGATGTATTATAGGTATACAGAACAACAATCACTACATGGGTTATCTTAAAAATAGACGAACAAACAGACATTAACACTACAGATTGCATAGTCGGTGATATGAACTCTATCATATGAGGTATACGCGTGCATTCCCCTGCGTTTCATCGATAATTTCTTCGTAGAATATCTAATCATTATAAATTGTATAATTATTTGCAGCAAATTAGTATTTAAGAGTTAATATTATTAATGTCGAAGTATATTATATTTTGTTACTAATCTCAGTATTATTCCAAATTCCGATCTGACATACAACATGTTTTAGGATAATCATGCAGCTATTGTTGCTCTGCATGCTACATCAACTCTATTTGAGTCACAATTATAACAATATTGCAATTGATTCCCTTTATACATGTAGCTATTTATTGTTGCCACAATTCTATTTCAAGTATGCAGCAAATGTTGTAGCTGATTCTGTTTTGTGCATATATTTTAGCAATAGGATACATCTATGAAGTCATATGGGTGAATTGTTAGTTGCGAAAGTGTATTAATAAACTTAGTGGCCACAAAAGCTTCACTTGTGCCGAACAGTGCAGTTAATAACAAAGCTGTAGTTGATACTTGTTCTGTACATCTATTTTTAGGATATATAATGTAGTTATTGCGGGGTTTGGCATATGATATATCCATATATTAAGCAATGACAAATCGTCTTCATTAATGCTGTAATGCACGCATATGTAGTTATTGCATATTGACTTATCCCTATTTCTAATCAGTTAAAGCCTCAATCATGATAATGGTGTTGTAACTTACCTGTATGTACATCTATTTTAGGGACAATCATCAATCGTAGGTTTCGAACTTTATTATTTAAAGTTCTAGCATCCCGCTTAGTTCTAACAATAAAGTTTGTCACATATTCGATAAGTAAATTGTCATATCAGTTTGAGAAAACAAACGCTATTGAAACACTTTTGAAAAATTTATAATAAAGCCCTCATCTCTTGCGCAATTTTTTCTAGCAAACAATTTTTACGCAAAATGATTATTTTTAAACATTGTGCCTTATCGTGCCCATAACCCGTACGCTTGATTGGAAAAAACAAGAATCCGACAGCGATTAATTGAACAGAAAACCAACCAATTGTCGCTATACGAGGAGCGCTTGAATCTGTGAGAAGTGATGTAAGGATTATATTATTAGATCTTGCTTTAATAACAAGGGATGAGAATATGATAGCATCAGGTGTGGTGAATATCACGTTTGTCAGTGATGGTAAGGCAATGGTTCATATGTCGAAGAACGAGGCACCTTTTTACAGCATAATCTGTAAATAAATCTTTATTTAAGTTAAAAGCACCTGTCGAGATAATTAAGAATATCTATACATTACAAACAAAGTGGTTGGACCGCGAATTAATGCCATTGACTAATAATTGTCCACATAACCATAATCATTCTACTTCCTCTTCTTAAAAGTTAGAGGCAGAGGACCTATAGCGCTAAACCCGCGTTTTATAGGGTACTTCGGCCGTTTTCCGTCAAGAGTGCTAATCTCGTACTTTCTAATAAGTATTGACATTGCCATCTTAATGTTCCTACTAGCTAACCATCTACCCGGACATGCATGTTTTCCTAGCCCAAAAGCCATCGAGTCCCTACCGACTCTAGCGAATGGAGACTTGCTGACGTGTCGAAATCCAGAAAACGTCTCCGGATTATCACCGTGCAGAGAAGAATTGGACATGTGGGCGAGGTTGTTCATCAATACCAGGCGACCTAATATCAAGAAAGGTCATTTATAGTGATCGAACACTTATTTGAACAATAAATAGAGACTAGACAAATAACATACCTTTGGGAACTTGATACCCATTACTGAACGTAAAAGACGGACACATTGCACAATGAGAGGGAGCGTTACTGGATGCGATAAACCAATAATTGAGAGTATTTGGAGAGAGAAAGAGAGAGTATAATTGAAAACGTAACAAATAACATCCGGCGTCTATTGCTATCAACGAGTCATACTTACTGATATGCCCTATCAGACGATTAGATTCTTTGACAAAACTATCCAATTTCTCCATTCGGTCCATAGTCAAGTCAAAATCAAGACCGTCTGTTGTGACCTCTTGTTCTTTTCTCAGATCATTCCAGTACTCAGACCTTCCCGCGTAATCTAATTGACAAACCATATCACGTGTTCAACATCTTTTCTGTAGTTTTCTCGTATTTATCTCGTGACTAACATACCATTGAGCGTGTTTAAAAGATTTTCGCTAGTAGTATGGATCGAAGCCCACACAAGCATTAGCATATGACATGCTATGCAGTCGTAGTGAATTTTACCAAACAAGTCAATGGAATATTCCAATAGGAGTTGAATTAGATCATCCTGTGAAATATGTACGGTCATACAATTAATGGACATTGATAACAGGGGAAACCCGATTTTGTCAGTTGGCTGACTTACGGGACGCTTCCATTCATTTCCAAACTGTTGCATGTCCTGATAGCGTTTCTCGAAAATAGGCTTTAACTTTTTTGTCAAAAGGTCCTTATGCTTTTGCGGTGAATTGTCTCCATATTTAAAGACTAATCTGAATAAAGTGTGCATTGATATGATATTAATTAATTTAATCGATTGAACAAATGCCAGTCAGAAATCTCGAATTATCGCATCACGTACTTGATGTATTTCGTTTGGAGACGAGGATGAATAAGGTACGCGATCGAAGAAAGTTTTTTGACTCGTATTAGAGTAGTAGCAAACGTCGCAAACACTTTTACGATCTCGTCATCCTTGCACAGTTCCTAAAAGACAAAAAGGTATCACTATGCGATTTAATCTGACACTACGTGTCACGCACTTTATGACAAATATAATATCCCTACTTCGCCAACGAAGAGATTTGCCATTGCCCGTGCGATAATGGTCATTGAAATTTTGTCAAAGTTGATAATCAACTTGGGTTCCTCACAGTCACCAATTAACTGATCGATACTATGTTGTAATTCACGATAGATACGCAAATAACAATCGTCAGCATGCTTGTAAAACTCCTTGAATAACTTGGCTGTATGTCTGGGGTATGCGTTTAATCCGATAATGTCACCAATCGGGAACGTCTGACAAACATAAACATAGCGTGAATTATTATGACAACGATGGTGATGGTGGCGGAGCAAAAAAGATAGCAGTTCAAGCAACTTACACGCTCAAGCCCCTTCTTGAAACTGAAATTAGTTGATCTAAACATCTCGTATGCTAAGTCATTGCTGACGATAGCACTTCACGAAATAAGTACAATGAAAACATGTCTCCATACTAAAAAATCAATGGAGTTAGAATACCATGTATTAAACAAGAATAACATGACCCTTATTATTATCGTAGCTAAAATACCTGCTCGTGACATTTTTTCAGAAGGCCTTTGGAGTCTCGCAGGTACTCAAGAGTATGGCCTATTAGTGGATACTTGTAAGGTACTAAAGGAGGCTCATTCTATTCGATTGAAAGTCAAGTAAAGTAGTTGTATCACCGAAAGATATTAGCATGTATACGCCAAATTTACTCACAAGCTTTGGACGACGACTCTAATAAACGAATACGGCAATGAATGCGCCAAGGCACAGTACGAGTACTTCAGGTGAGGTTAGCTTTAGTAATAACGAAGAGAACATGGTCAAAAGTTACAACAGATGCCCATTATACCATGCTGAATGCACATATATTTATTAACCTAATTATCAGTTTCATCGTATCGTGTGCTTTACGATCTCCTGTTTGCTAACCTCAAAACCCCAAAAGAAGTTATTTTTGTGGTTAATCGTTTCGGCTAAAATTTCTTACAAATGAAACTCGATAAGCCGAAGGTCGCGGGAAGGGACAATTTATTCGGCCTATCGAGATTTTCGTTTTATCAATTTTCGCAATAAGCCGAATTTATGTATAGTTTACACAAGCTTTCGGCTTATAACAACACTATATATAAACTTTATTAATGATGCTATAACATATTCTGTTGTTTAGTCTCAATCGTTCTCTTAACTTTTTTAGATTAGATAAGAAGACAGTATCAACTTATCACAATCTTGAGTAATATACAGAAGCAAAGAATTGACATGCTCAAGAGCTGACTATTTGAGGAGTCTTAAGTCGATTGTTGCAATAATAGACTCTGTTGTCGGCATATCCTGTACAGAGATAAAATCTTTCTGAATTAACAAAGTCAGCCGCTTCCACTCTAACTTCTTCACGATCGATAGGAAATCGATTAACAAGTTCAATTAGCTCTGTATTTGTTGTTAAAACAACATTTTCTTCGGTTTTAATAGCCATCTTATTAGGTATAACACCCGTTTTTTGCCATGCGTGTGTTATGTCTGCGCTAATAGTATGTCTGATTTCGATCATGGGATTTAAGAATGAACCAATCAAGATAAATTTACGTGATTACTTGGTATCGAGATAAAATTATTATAGTCGGTTGGCCAAAAATCTTCGGCTTATCGTTTAACGCGAATTTACTAATTAATTTTGGCTTATCGAGTTTCACTTGTATTATGTAACAATTAATAATAATAATAATATGTAATAATTAATATTAATATTAATAATATATTGAGAGTTAAGAATTGAGGTGTGAGAGAAATTGAAATATTGATATAAGAACATATCGTACTCTTTCTCTCCTCCTTCTCCTTCTCCTCTCCTCTTCTTTAGAATGATGGCTGTAATGATGGTATTAATGAGGTGCTTGGCAGATATTGATGTTTAACAACGTTGCGTTGTACTAATTGTACTCTATTATTACTATATTTAGCTATTTAATAATAATTTTAAGAAATCCGAAGTGAATTACATAAGCAGTCAAAGAGCCAGTTAGTAATAGTAACCTTAATTCGGATGTTCGGCAATAATTATCGTTAAGGGTAATATTCAGTAATTTATTGCTCTACAATCGATTCTGAAATATTTTATTAGTAAGCAATTCACAACTCTTATAATCGATTTACGGCAGACAACAGTAACTCAAGCTTACAACGATTGATTCTTTTCAATTCGTAAAGATAACGGTTCGGCTATAATTATCACTAAGGGAGATGAATGTAAGTAATTCACGGCTCTTATAATTGATTTACAGAAGATAACAATAACTTATACTTACAGCGATGAATAATTGTACGATCCTTTTTAATTTGTAACTAGATTAGTAAGAGACTTGTGCGCAAGCTACACAACCTTTACTAAATCTTAAATATGTTAATCTCAACCAATTGACAGTACGTACTCCATATAGCCTCCAGCAAACTTGGTATAGCTTTAAATAGGGTTTTAAGTACTTTGTCAAAACAGCTTATAATACTTATACATAACGGTATTTTAGTTAACTGATATAAAGCTTTTCCTTTGGATATGCATATGGCTGTATTGGTTGGGAGGCATTGAAATGGTAAATTGTATTGTCAGTACTAAGACAATGTTTAATAGTAATTCAGCATAGTTCATAAGTTTTGCTGAGTGTGCTTAACCATGATGTAGCAAATTTGACTAAAAGCTATCATTTCTTCACAGAAATTAATATATTGATTATGCGGCATATGTACAAGAAATAGCCATCAATAGTTATCAGATGACAATATGCGATAAAGGTGTCTCTTAGCTACAAGAAAAGAGGACCATTATTCGGTACTAGTTATCCCAATAATTTCCATGCAAATTATCGTACGATTAGGTTACATTGACAGTCTAACCTAATGCTAACGTATACCTAAGAAATTAGTAACTGTTCACCAAGCAGTCTCAAAGCAAAGTTTGATTAATTTAGCAAGGATCAATTGCAATTGTAAGACAAACTGCTCTACAGCTCGATGTGCTTGTCATAAAGCTATGCTTAAATGTAATTTAAACTGGCTGCAATACTAATTGAATAGTAAATAAATTTTCTACAATATCGTATCGTTATTTAAGTTGTCATTGTTTGAGGAAATGTATCGCATAATTACGTGTATAATGAATAAATATTATTAGTTTAGTGATTTCCGCTACAAAATTAATTCCTCCCGATTAGTGAATAGAATTCTGAAATATAATAATTTTAGTTTCCTTAGCTAAGAGTAAAATTTTATTATATTAATACCATTAACCGAATGATTGATAGTAATTATACAAACAATCACTATCGAATTAGAGTCAATACTTCAAGTCTTATTTAGAAGTCTGAATCAAGCGACTCTTATAACACACACAACTAATAACTCGTCTGTAAGAATACAATACTTTTAATTAATACACATATGTAGTTGATACTGCTTAATAATATTTTTTTTACGTTTTCAACTAGGCAACTAGAGGAGATGTTAACTGCTTGAGCAGCCCGCTTTTTGATAGAACCTAATTTATACTGACACCTTCCAAATTTGGCGACTACGTCACAGTTTGTAAGGCAATAAATATCATTTGATTTGCGATTATATCAAGAGCCCTATCCAATATCCTGATACACAGTTCAAAAACATAGTCGATCCAGGGATCAATGCTTGACAACACCGACAATGTTTTTTCACATGATATTCTTCCCGTACATCAGCGTCAACTTTCAACTGACTTGAAATAAAATATTTGACACGATTTGATTTGTTTATTCTTGAGAAACTCTCACTTGAAGTTGCCAACCAAAATCAATTGGAGAATTTTACTCGTGAACATTGTTACTTCGTTTTAGTTAAATAGACAAAAGGCACATATGCCACTGACGGGAGGCAATCATTTCATCGATAATCATTTCACCGACAAATATTCACCACCATTATTTCGAAGTTATCCTTTTTTGGTAGTTAATTGTCGGTGAAATGTACTTTCGGTGAAATGATTGTCGATGAAACAATACGGACCCGCCACTGACATACGCCAATAAGTGGTGAAAGGAAATAAAGTACTGCCTTTGCGTACCTTTTATCGCTTGATTAAAGCATTCGAGCACGGACAACAAGGCATTAAAGATGAAACATGCTATGCTTTAAACAGGCCTCGCGAAGCTGTCATAAAAATGATAATTACAAGTTTGAGCGATTGTTAATAATAACCGCCATTTAGCAACACAACAATTAGCTAATTTTCAGAGGGAATGAATTGATCATGTTCTTCGCTCAACCTGAGAAATTTTACAAAAATAGATTCTATGCTTTATACTGCACCACATATTTTAAACGGTCACTAAAGTATTTAAAAAGAAAGAGTTGATACTCTCCATTACCCACGTTATGGCCATATGACACCAGTGATTTTTTCTATTTCCCAAGATCAAGAAAGAACTTGAAAATAAAACGTATGAAAATCTCACGTTGGCTGTTCAGCCAATTACTTTCGGTATAGCAAAAGAGGACTACCATAGATCGAATTGGCGTAGGAGGCTACAATTTTGCATAGATGAGATGGTGACTACTTTGAAGGAATGAAAAGTTTACTTCGATGTTGTAACATGAATGTTCTTAATAAAGTTTTTTTGCATTACTTTTCGGCCGCCCCATGTATAAAAGAATTTTGCATTCGATTGTTGTATTTTATTTGTCGTCAATAAAGCTAGCTAGAATAATCAAATCATAGCGTAAACACAGTATAGTTTGATTGGACAATGGGAAAGTGAGAAATACTCGTTCCAACATGAGGCGGATGCTAAAAATACAAAACAATTATTAATTGCTTTTTGGAAAAGATCGGCCCATTATTCTTGCAAGTAGTAAATATTTATCAATTACCAAATTAATGGACAAACTGCGTAAGTATAATAAAAAAGGAAATTGAAGACATGTCAGGTGATAATGGTGAAATGTAATGCTATCGAAGTACAGTTTGAATATTTTGATAGAACGATAATATACAGTTTATTTAGTGAAACGGTTTTTCATGGGAATGAAATATAATAATAAGATTGTTTTATTTTCATCACGAGGTAATTCAAATATAGTACTTGTTTATGTAGATCAATCATGACAGAGTGTAAACATTAAAAAGCGAAGCTAACAGAAATAAAAGTAATCGTGTTGGGAAAGGATCAGCTGATATTATTATTTGCGTAAGATGGGACTTTATTTTTTGCGTAATACAATGACGTTCAAAAATACTACCGATACCGATTTATCTTGGTTGGCATCTTGTAGATTCAAATAACTCATGCACCTTAAATCTGATATTAACGTTCACAATATTCGCACTAATATTTTACTCAGCCTATTGTACGACTGCAAATGGTACGGGTACATTAATTTTGACATGGTTAAAATTTTAAACGTATAGAAATAATGATCACCTGCACATAGTTCGACATCTATTAGATAATAAATAGAACAGAAAGTAATAGTTATTATTTGTTATTTGACAGATTTGGTCTATCATGATAAATACAAACTCTAGTCACTAGTCTTTATGATGACATTATTTATTATCTGCCTTAAGAAAGAATGACTCGTTTACGTTTCATCGTCATATGAAAAAAATGACGATTTTTATGTTGGGTGGGAAAAAATACGCTGGGAGACTGTTCGACTATAAAAAAAAAATAGGCTCCTTCAGAGGTGGGTGGCTCATAAAGGTATATAGATAAGATTAATCTCCTGCGAGGATCTACATAAAATATTACTGTAAATGTGTATGCGAAATATAACAATAACCTGATACTGGAGAAGATTTCTCAGCGTGAAAAAGTGTATAAAGGTTCGCCCATTCGCACTCGTCGTTTATAAGCGACAATTTTTGCAACCATGAGCTTATATGACGACTTCTTTGCTAGAGCAAACATTGGTGATGAAGCATTTATCCCTAGAAAAGGCACTTTAACTCATTCACCTGACATTCAACCTGCCGGTACCAAGCTTATTGATGACCCGCAAGACTACTTTATTGGAAGAAATGGAGCTCAATACGATGTAGATAGAGGTACCAGCATCACAGCAAGATCACGAAATTATATTTATGTCCGAGGTGCCTCAGCCTTGTCAACAGAAGGGGTTATCGAGCTTTACTTCGTACCGAGTTCACTACTCATGCACCCAAATGGTTGGTCAAAGAATCAATTAAAAGATGAGAAAGGAAATACAAGCATTCCTTTCAAAGCACTTAATAACCAAAGGATAGTCTTGAGTACACCGTTTGTTTGGGACAATCCAATACCTGATCAACATTACTGCCTTGTATCACGCATTGTTACAAAGAGACATCCAAATCCTATACCAACCTCACTTGCTGGTTGGGATAGCTTTTATGAATGGCTCAAAGAGTCACCCGGAATAGGCTGGCGAAACATATCAATTGTGAATTCTTCATTACCAACCAGCACTGCAACAACAGACCTACATATCCCGCAAGAATGGGATTCGCATGATGCTTTGGTTTACCTCGAAACAATCGATATACCTAATGGAGTTACCGTGTCTTTCTCCTCAAGTAATATCGATCCTCCTTTCAAACTCGAGCCACAGAAGATTACTCACTCGCCTCAACGTTTTTATGTTTTCACGAAATTGAATAGCGGAACCATGGGCAAAGTCACTTACACTTATAATAGAAACGGTATTCAAGTACCTGACAATGCTAAACTTGTTCTTAATGTTGTAAAGTTGTCCCAAATTGGGTCGGTAACAACCGTTTTCAAACGGGAATAAGAGAGGATATTTGGAGTGGTGTAATGCTTTGTCATGTGATATTGTCCATTATTAAATTAATAAAGTTTTCGTCCTTTTAATCCTTACTCTATTTCTGTGTTTGTCATGTTGGCATACAGAATGTACTTATGTGATAGCAACGCCATGTCCAAGTGTTCCACGACGACAATCCAAGCCTTCAATTCATGCGATACTACCTTGATTCTTGATGATGCTATATTTAGAATACTTGAAACCGTGATCGGAATTAGATTTCTCTTTTCGCTGATACTATATAGCCAAGATGATTCTTTCCAAATGGAGTCATTCTAGCACTTCTCCTACCACTATCGTCTTGTCGTAATTGCCCATTGGATGTTCACGCAGACTTTGAAGTATGATTGGTGCGCATGTCTGTTTACATTCTCAAATGATGATGTACTGTATCTACAATGTTGCGTATTCGATCAGCTCTTGATGGTTGAAGCTGAGAACTGGGCGATTATATGCTTGATATATTATTGATAAGTTGGTTGACATAATTGAGTCAGGGAATTTCCAAAGCATTTATCTATTCCTGTCTCGAACTGGGAGCTTATGCCTGCCACTGTATAGCTCGTAATCAGAATACTTTGTCTTGTTCTGTTCATTAATGAAAAGTCTACTCTACTGCATTTATAAATAATGTTACTAGATAAACAAAGGATAAAAGTTAGCAAGAGAAAGCCTTGGAGATACGAAGAATTGTTTGTTCGAGTAGTTGATTGTTGCAGATATCAGAGCTTTTTGTTTACATTTGTAAAAAGAATCCAAATAAAGAGATTACAAAAGACTCTCTGAGGTATTCATATCCGCAAAATGTGAACGTCCGGACTTGGAGGACAGTCCAAAAGTTTTGCCATAACTAATCCCCCAAACTGAAATCACGGAACTGCTCTTTTTTTTTTTTCGGCGTGACTAAGTTACTATAATGCGCGGACAGTTTTTGTTGTCGTTAAAATAATACGTAGTTTGTATTTTAAAATCTTTGAGGTTTGCAGATAACGGAGTTAAAACGTGTATGCCACACACATACCACATACATAACCACACACACACATCATAGAACTAGCCACATTGGAATGTAAGGCGCAACGGTTGGATGGTTGTTTTATGAGCAGTACTCAATTTACAAGTTGTTATCAGAACCATCAATTACATGCATTATTATGAATACGTTTACATGAAAAGCGCAAATACTGCGATGCTACAGTTCTTCACATAATTTTGTAAGCATCGTCCGTCCATCTAGTTTCTATACATTAAATCTGTTTATTTACCAAGTTTACATGAAGTTGGCTATTGTATGCTCTATTAAACTGTGACCGAATAATTAATAGCATAAGCAATCACAAAGTTATTTTTATTTCCAAACAATACAAATTTCCTGTTTGCTTTCTAATAATTAATGCTACAATTTGGAAATTGCAAATTCGAACAAGTTAAATCTATCGGTGATTAATCTTTCCCTTTTTTCATTACCACTTTAATAGTTGAGGGATATTACTATCATCGTCATTATCGAAAAGTCTGTAGAGACTGCGAAGTCTTTGGAGATACTTTGCGACTTCACTGTTTATTTCCTCTTGACGGATTTTCGACGTTGAGGAGGCTTCGTCAGGGGCATTTAAGTAGCCGCTAACAAAGCGGGTAATTTCGTAAACCATTAAATCACGAGAAACTTCCTCATGATTTATAATCGATTTGTATAGTAAGAATGCATTCACCGTATTCACAGAGCGGAGCACATTGTCCGAAGAAAAGTTGTACTTGTACAACATCACATCTAGCCGTACTAGTGCATTGTCTTGCACAAAGACATGATAGTCGCGGAGGTGCGAGTCTCCTACCTCCGAACGACCGATAAATGTTTTCACAGTCGTCAACACGGCCATTTTCAGTGCTGCTCCAATATCTCCGCTGAACAAGCTATCCAATGTTTTATTTATTTGCTTGCTTAACTCCTATGTGGGTCAAAAATAAAGCTATTTAGTACGTAATTTCACATTATACCAAAAAGCATGTGAAAAGAAAAACAACATTATAAATACATACATCAGAGTTAATCGAGGCATTAACATGGATATCCTCGACTCTATCCACCACCGTTCCAATACGAACCATGTGGTTGTTGGAAGGAGGGTTCAAAAGTTCGTGCTCAAGGCTTTTCATTTTCGAAATAACCATCGAATGGAGAAACTTTAGCGCCTCCTTGCACTCCTTGTCTGTGCTCTCGTTGACCAGTTGTGAAAGGCGTTGCCCCATTTTTTTCTATTTGCTTTGTACGTTTTTGTTTTTAATTTAATTTTTGATTCTACTTGAATATTTTTCTGCTCTGCAAACAATATGTTCTTGTCTATGTACTTGCGTCGTGAAGAGAGGATTTTTATAAGTACAGTATCTGGTGTCCAATTATGGAAAATTTTTCAATGGGTGTTGTGGCCGGCACATACAGGGAACAATCTCTTTGCAATAAATATACAAAAGAAATTGCAATACACTATTATTAGATTGCAGGTTACCGATACATACATCTGTACATGTAGTAAACAGTAAACTGTGACTGCGGATTGCGTAATGTTTGGATTACTGCAGACAAAATAAGGGTCAATGGGTATCAGGTTGGAATCGGCTTGCAATTCCTGAGCAAGCAACTAAATAATATATAATCTACTTTGTACGTTTGGTGTACCCGAACTAATCTATTTATGGTAAAATAACATTGTTCTTACGAGATGCCAGTCTTTGTTACTATTAAGGATAAACATTGGTATCTAGATGCTGTAGATTGCGCATTTCTTTGATCTTGATGTTTACGTACTGAGTAAACATGCATTATTGTTGATATTAATTTACTGCGTAGGCTGCCTTTTCTTGGGAAAGCTTATTAACATGTTGAATACGTTACTGTTTTAAATTGGTATGTTTCTTGTATCTCTGAACTTATAATTGTTATTCTCTTCCGAGCAGTTAGCTCTCTGGAAATTTTTACAACTTGTCGGCATCGTGACGTTATGACTGTTATTTTGCTCTAATCTATCTGAGTCTTACTTATATTTTTATCGTCACAAATTTCTGACATGTAGGAGCATGTCGTGACACACGTAGCGAAACGATGATAATGTTGGTATTAGTTGGGAATGATGAGACTTGCAACCAGTAAGTTTGCTTACTGTAGAATATACGTACATCCACATAAGTACAATAACAATGTCAGTTATTTTAAAAAATGGTTTGGGTGACAAGGCAGATGGTTCCCAATATAAGAAAATAATTCATATGCGATTTTGGTCTTCAGCTTGTCACCATTGTACCGAAAGTCTTCTATCGCAAATTTACAAAGAATTGACATACTGTACATTCCTTTGGTGTTAGTAATCTGCCTTTTAGAAACGGGCAATTTGATAGAGATTTACGATGCAATTTTGTGGACGGGCTGCAACCGTCATTGCCTGATGAGGCATGGCTGTTGAGATGAGTTGTGTTGTTGATCCTGACAAGCGTCCAGACACATGGTACTTTGAAAGTATAATAGTAACAAGGCGACAAGGGTATTTATCATGAGACGTTTGCCACGTCTTGAGAAGGAGAGTAATATTCTAGTACGCTCTTGTCTAACACGGTTGATTTTAACTGCAAGAAATTGTTGTAAAAACATGCATTATTATCGAACAATTTGTGGTTTATTATAAAAAGCGAAAATTTACCGTGACGGCTTACAAAGTTATAAAAATCTACTATTATATAATATGGTGGTTGCTATCTAGTCTTGCTACCCACTTTTAAATACTACTAAAAAATTTCTTCAAGTTAACCAATATCGTATACAAGGTTGATTATTCAACTGTGATTGAATAGACTTGCAAGTGCAAAGTCTTGAAAACCTTCAGACAACACAATTACAAAATTATGCTTAGTTACATAACATAACGAAAGGGCAATCTATATAGCAACTGTATTTCTAAAACAATCTATTTGATATCTGCGGGTCGTTGCTATTATTGCCATGATCAAAAAGTTTGTAAATGCTATGCAGCCTCTGGAGATACTGGGTGACCTCTTCATTAATTTCTTGCTCATCTAATTTTGAGTTCATAGTTAAAGCGTTCCCCTTCATATAGTTCCTTACAAACCGCGTTATCTCGTATATCAGTAAATCACGAGAGACCTCTTCGTGATTTATTATGGACTTTTAAAACAAGTACGCATTCACCGTATTCACCGAATGGAGTATATTTTCCGAGGTAAAATTGTACTTGTATAGCATCACGTCCAGCCGGACCAATGCATTATCCTGTAAGTAGATGTGGTAGTCACGAAAAGTTGACTCTCCAGCCTCGGAACGGCCGAGAAATGTTTTCACAGTTGTCGACAAGGCCATTTTCAGTGCTACTGCAGTGTCTCCAGAGAACAAACTATCCAACGTTTTATTTATTTGCTTGCTTAACTTCTATGTGGGTTAATAAAACTATTTAGTGTGTATAATGTCACCTTAATTGAGAAACGTTGAAAAATAACATATAGACGCTTACATCAGAATTCGTCGAGGCATTGATGTGGATATCTTCGACTCTATCCACCACCGTTCCAATACGAACCATATGAGTGTTTGAAGGTGGGTTTAAGAGTTCATGCTCAAAGCTTTTCAATTTTGAAACGATCATTGTACGGAGAAACTTTAGTCCCTCTTTTTGTTTGTCCGTACTCTCACTAACAACTGTCGAGAGTTTTTGTCCCATTTTTTTCTGTTTGATTTGTATGTTTTTGTGTTTAATTTAATCTCTTGTTCCAAGTTTAACACTTGAATATTATCTGCGAAATATGTTTTTGCCTTGCGTTGAAGGAGGATTTTTATAACACGTTTTTTTGTTAATATTTATTTGCACCGGAGTCTCCGGCATTGAATAGTGTTTCAACACAATACCAAAAATTTAAAATGTAATACAATAATAAATCGGAGCCTTAAGCCGGCTTTCATGTATAATGCATGACGTATAATGGTTCGTATAAGGTCATGCAGTCAATCGTCATAGTGTACATTGTTCGTCTCATGTAACTCAAACAAATAAACGCCAACACTGCAGGGGAACGGCAAGGGTTCGATATACTGTATGATTGACGATTGTACCAAAGTAAATTGTAACTTTTGGCTCTTATCGGTGATGCTAGCAACATCAAATAATGCTTTATTTGCACTATACGCTCAATATGCTGCTCTGTTAATTCTTAATTCTATGCGCTTCTAATAGACAAAGTACTACCCCGCCGTATTGCGAGTCAGTGATATATTGAGGCATCTAGATTTCTGATGGAGAGTACGGTGATGGCCGACATTTCTTATATTTGTTTGTTTGCTGAGTAAAATGTGCGTTAGTGTTGATATTGATTTGTTACTGCGTAGGGCTACTTTTTGTAGGAAAAATTTATTCAAATTGGGTAAAATTGCGCGAACACCTTTATCAAAATACTTCTTCTGACCGTACCTTTAGATTAGATTTCCTTTCCGGATGTTTAATCTCTTTAACATTTTCACAGCTTGTCGATATTCTTTGGTTCTGTAATATTATTTCAAACAAAATATTATCACTCAGCCCTAAACTTATCTTTTATCTTTATACACGTTAATTCTTGTCATGTACTCTGATATGTTCTTGCAGTACGGATCGGGACGTATACTGTATGCCCCATGATTTTTATCTGCACCCCTCCGATTATAATTCCTTTTTTAATCGTTTTTTAATATCTGTTAGATTTTGCCGTGTTTTACTGTTTTGGCCTGATAATAAGCTCAGTCCAAAATATTTTGGTAACACAACATGGTTGATTATTACCAAACGTATTCATTTCTGCATTATCACGCAATCATCTCCCCCATCATCTCCCCATCCTCCCCCTCCAGCTCGCATAGCTAATACCATTCGAGTGTAAAATGTTTGAACTCTGTTATATGGGTTAAATTATGTAGTTTTAACACCTACGATTATTTAAAACTAGCTTTAGCACATCTCTGCGTAGCATAGCAATGCAATGAAGTTGTACCAGATCAGCATATTGTAAATATATAGAGTAGCGGTGCGCTCATATTAATACAACTATTTCCTACCTAGACATATTGATCAGTGAGCTTATTAAGGCATTAGACAGTTTTAGTTGCAGGTTACAAGTGTAGGATAATGATTAATGTGAAACAGAACTATCGATGCCATATAATCAAGTCTATAGTGAAGATAAAAACTGCTGTTATGAAATGGCTAATCATTTGCACGCAATTGACTAGTGACCTGACAATTCATATCTAATTATAATCAGAGTCAAAGTAAGTCCAATATAGTTGGTTTGAAATTGAAATTACCGGTATTATTGTTATCAATGTACAGGGATAGGTAAATTAAGCTTCCGTAGAATGGTTATTTGATATAGAGTCCGTGAGACAGATACTTGTGCTGCTGGGTAGATTAAAGTGTTGCATCAAGTTCGCTTAGCCATGTTACGTATAATGCAACTACAAATAAGCACAGAATTGGCAAATTCTTGATATTATGTGATTAAATTATTTCATTACCTTTTTTTGTTGTACAGCTGATGAGCACTGTCTAGCCAACGACAAACTGATTTCCAAACGGATTGGCTTGATAAACGATGAGAACGCACAAAATTTAATTGATAAGAGAACGTATACAGGATAACATACCACTATTACGGTGAAAACAAACTTTGCTCGTACAGCACGCGCCGAGATTATAAGATGCAACCATAATGTTTGGCTAATGGTATTTCAGGTACTTCAGGTATTTCAGGTATTTCAGGTATTTCAGTTTTCGATTTAAAACTATTGCACCATTTTGAATACTATTACAATTTTCCGCACCATTATTTCTGATGCATGGTTTGATATAGTTTGAAACGACAGTACTATCTATTTCATACTGTAACGGGTTATTTTTTATAGATTATAGTACACATATACCTTTGCTTTCAAGTGTTTATTAAATAACTGCGGGATTTACTTGGGGAGATAATTTACTTCCCCTAACATAGGGAGGTACCATAAACAGTAATTAGTAGTAATTGTGCTATTTATATTATTGTTTCTACTACAATCTTATTCTATGACATGTATAATTAATTTATCGAACAATAAAGTAAAAGCTTATGAGCGCCTAACTCCCCTTTAAACTTACCTACTTGCAAATCTGTCAGGGGAGTAAGCTGATGAGAGCACCTTGATAAATCTAAAAACGTGATCGTTCGAAATCAACTAAAAGGGGTATCGAAGAATTGATAATGAGTAAAAGTTGTGATTTTGTTAAAAAACTTTTTGATTATCTGCTTCTTCATGCGTTACTGGAATTGGTTGCCAGATACCTGCCTGTAATGTCTTCTTAACTTTATGTCAATCTAAATTGACATACAGTATGTTGATTCCAAACGGCGGACGGGGAGTGGTGAATGCTGCTGATTTACCAGATCGGGTAGCGGAAGACCGCCACAGCAACGCTTTGGTCGTGGATAATGTTGATAACTACCGCAACTACGCCGCCTTTATCCGGGGCATTAGCATCAACCGCTACGGTGCACTTAAAAAGCTTTTTGCTTTATGTTGATCTTCCTTGTCGCTATGGGTAAGAGTTTCAATAAAGTTTACCACGACTGGATTACGCTCAGCAAGCCATTTGGAAGAAGAATATTTAAATTAAATTGCTTATTATTGTACAAATTACTTTAAGAATTTCCGTCACACACCTAATACGATTTGTTGGTCAGGCAAGAAGTCTTTTCGAACACCGGCAACTCGAATATTAAAAACTTGAATCTACAGATGATTCAGAACCGACTTTCCGCGAACAAACAACAAGTCTTTGGCTTCTAGTCTTGCATTTATTGTGTGTACGATTGGACTAGGTTAAAGAAAACTGTTTTCTAAAGTTGTGTGGATCCCGTGGATTCTGAAACTAAGTTTTCGATTCTTATTTGAAATATTCGAAAATCGATAAAGCGTCATCAAATTCTCATGCTAAACGCCAATCAGATTGCGAGTGCGCTGGCAGATTATTCTAGTATCTGATTTACAAATTCGGAAATCTCTCGGACTGTAATGTTTATTAGTAAACTGAAACAAGTCAGATAAATAATTTACGTTATAATATCTAAAAAATTATAAACACGCTCTATGGTAGTAAATGTTTATTTTGATGCCTAAATTGTTTATAGTCAATTATTTTTACTCCGGTTGAAAGTGTTTTAATTTTCAAGTTATTTTGCATAGTTTGAAACTTTTCTTCCGAATATAAACAAACCCAAGAAAGAACATATGGCTGTAATACAGTTAAAGTTAGAATAAAGCAAACATATACTTACATATTGATAAGTCAATGAATAAATAAACCATACTTACATAAACACTATTAATATCAAATTCTAAAATAATGTCATCTTCGGTCAAAACATTAACCACACGTGGTAAAATGTATTCAACATCGCTGTCTATATATTCAATATCTATCTTATATTGTATTTCTTCAGTTGACGTCTTTATCTACAAAATCAATTTTATATTTACCATACTATATACGATACAACAAAGACCGAACCAATAATAATAATTCTGATTGAATACGTACTACAATCGTTATTGTAAACTTCCCATAATTGTACAACAAAATGCTGAGTTTGTATTTATTTGGAGGTACTTGGAATATGGGTATTGTTAACTAATATATAATTGTCTATTAGTTAAATATTCACAGCATTATACAAACATTAGACTACTATATTGATAACAAACCACTTACTTTATTAGATCCATAAAGGCACAAATAATATTTACTATTAAACAATTGATGTTAGTAATGCATTCTTATAAATGGTAGTTAGTAAAGTTACTTACCCCCACGACGCAACATCATTGACATTTTGAATATGACTTTCATATGCAAAATGTGCTTTCAGGTGACCTAATAATAATAATAATAATAAATAAAGTAATTTAGTATGCATAATAATATATAAATTTATGCAATCAAGTGTAACCCCTTACTTTTGTGCATATAGTATACTTTCTCATAAAACGCGTCTGTATTCTTATTATTATTATGCCAAGTATTGTTATACTTGTGATACCAAGTTACAGCAGCATTGTACCATCTGGTGTAATCATCTCTTCCATACTGATAGTTACACAGTGATTGCCATTGATTGATATTTTCTAACTCATACATTGCTTTAGCAGGGTAACTATTTACAAGAAATTTAAACCATTCCATATCAAAATGCTCGAGCTTGTTTACAAATTCATGAATTACATTGAATGCACGGCCTTGCATGACATAATACCTTATATTCTTAATATCTTGTTCAGCCTTTTTCTTACTTATATTTTGAAGACCCATATGTGCTTCTAGACTCAAGTACCAAATATCATCATAAACATTATTCACTTCAATTGCTGTCTCAATATCAAACAGAGCTTTTTGAAAATTCTCCTGATTGAGCTTGATCAATGCTCTATTATATAGAGCTATATAGTTTGTGGGATAGGCTTGTAATATCTGTGAGTATATGTTTAAAGCATCTTCCAATTCGCCTGTTTTATATGCAAGTTTAGCCTTTTGAAGCAATTTGTTTACATTTGGTGCTGTTATTGTCTTCCAGATTGTGCTCAAAGTGAAACCAGAATCATACTTTCTTCCTCTGCTCTTTTTCTTTTTCTTTTTAAGATTATCATGCCAATCAAATACTT